TGGCCAGGCCGAGGGGCTGCCCCCCGGCCTCGGTTCCAGGTCTCCCTCCCTTCCTGCTCGTCTCTAGCAGGACCTAAATAAACACACAAGAACAGGCTTAGGCACCAAGGGACTCCACCTATCTCCAAAGCCCCCTTCTACCTTAACAGCACCGTGGCACCTGGGAAGATCCCTCTCTGCTACACGTCTGAACAAACTCAGGCAGTGATACAGGCCCATCTTTTTAAATGCACTCACTGCAGACTAACTGTGAAGCCAGTTCTGGAAGCCTTGTCAGCCTTTTGTTTCCCCTAAACTGTTCTTGGGTAGTGGCCAATGGCAAGCAGAAAACAGGATGGCTACAGCAGACCTTCAGTGCTCTTTGCTAATGCAATATCTAGGCTAACTCCCAGTCTAGGCATCATCCTGGACCAGGCACTAGAAATTCAGTCCCTATCGCAGGCCCCTAAGCAGAACTATCTTATCCTTTCGACCGCATTCACAACAATTCACACTGGTAACCCCAAGAACAAACACCTAATTAGCACAAAAGCTATTGTATTACAATACCATTTTTTTCCTTCACCATTTGCTTTTAATATAATTACTGTTAACACAAGTGTTTCTCCTTTGGCATTTGCATTTATCAGGATCACAGTAAAGGCAAAAGTTCAGGTTTTTTGCTTTTACTTGTTGAACACTAGGTAGAATATCTGAACGCATCCAGTACTCGGATACTACTTGTGCACTTCATATTTCAGTACTCCTGAATATTCAGAAGTAACTGGGACAGAGAACACACGCCATTACATTATTTCAAGAGTTCACATCATGCAAGTTATCACTGAATCCTCTTTTGGCTGCTCCTTCCTCATGTTTTTCCTGGGGAAACCCTGCTGTTGCATGTAAGGAATGGTCACGAGGAGGAGGAAGGAAGATGGGGAAGTCTCCATCTGCTCTCTGGTCTGAGAGACCATTGAAAGCGGCCCAATTCATTGGGCACTTTGTGCACTGTAGTTACCTGCTTGAGAAATGGACCAAATATTCAGTGTAGTTACTGCATCAGCACTGAGCAAAAGTAGAAATAAGCATAGTCTTAATGCAACGAGTGGAAAGCTTCCAAGGCACAGCGATACTGGAATCAGTATTGCCTGTGTGGACGAGTGAATGTGTATCTTAAACAGTATGCAAAAAGCCCCTTCTTCCTCATGGAATTGACTTGAGGAGCTCTTACCAGATTTAAAGGGTTATAAAATTGAATACATTACATTATTCTCTGGTGGGAAGCGGTCTCTGCTTTCCTAGTATCTGCTTCTGAGTAGCTGGTCACTGAGAATCAGGTGAAGAAACCCTGCCTTTATCTAGGAACTACCTCAGGTTTTGCCTTCTGCAAATTAAGATGTTATTGGCTGCCAAGGTGTCAAGTCAGCCCTTATGTCCAGCCCCTGAACAATACCTGATATTTCAGGCAACCCACCTGAAAAGAGAGTGCTAAAAGAAGTAGAACTAATCCAGAAGAAAAAAAAAACACAACAAAACACACACACACACACAACCATGCTCACAGAAAATAAAAGGATAACAACAGGCAAGGGGAAGTACTCAGCAGACTTTGTATCACAGACAGCTGCAGCTCAAAACCCTCCTCCCATTCCCCACCCCCAACTGCATCCATTTGCTAATTAAGAGATCCTAAAAAGGTATACCCCTGGACATGGCAGCTACCAATGACAATAGGCATCCTCTTCCAAAATTCTCACACACAACCTATAAATACTGTTTGCCTTTTATTGAATATTCAGGTAAATATTTCACATTAATACAGGCTACATAAAGTAGAGCCACTATACGACATGAAATTTACTCAACTTTTGCTCTTATGTAAACAATTATACATGTATTTACCACCCTAGAAGGTTGAAATAATGTAATCATCTAGTTCTCTGCTGCATACAAGTAGCATTCAGTAGTGTTTAGCCAAAAGCACTAGTTTCATCTGATTTAAGTTCAAAATGGCTAAACTAACTGGAGAACAGAATCAGTCGTATAGGTAAATCAATTTGTTCTTATACAACGGGCAATCAAGTTTCCATTGTTACAGCCCACAGAAAATTGCTTAGTTAGGCACATTTAAAAAAATCCCCAGGGTTCTTCAAGGTCATAAGGTTTCCCAAACAAGGCTAAAAAGGATAGACCCCCTTAAATCAGTTGACGTACTTGAGATGCATGTTTCCAATGTGAGGTGCCCAGGTGCCAGGCCAAATCTATAGCAAGAAGAAAAAAATCAAGTCTATTATAAAAACAAATAAAGGTTCCTTTAACAGAGCAATTAACCACTAGAGGGCAAGCTTAAGGCTCCCCCTAAAATACAACCAGAACATCAAAAGGCTGGGAGCTTTCAGCTCTGGCCAGGTTTTGACTGACAACACCTGTAAGATATTAAGTAGGCATATAAACCCTATTGCTTACAATAAAGTTTTTATCTTGCTGAGCATTCTTGAAATTCTGGTCATTTATCTGAAAGCTGCATACATTTGCATACACACGCTGTAAATGCAAGCAATCTTAATTCTAGTAGCTAAGAGTTGGAAAAAATCCCACCTATCTAGAATAAGGAAAAATAAAACAAAGCATAACTCTGTAAAAAGTCCCATATAAGTAAAGGTGGAAAAAACGCAGCCACAGTACCTGCTGAGCATCAGTACATTCAGTTGAATTTTGGACAACTTTGATCATAGGGTTCCAGGCCGGGTCTGGAGTATGAAGCCCATTAAAGAGAGGGCCTCCCGGGCCATCTGCTAGCTGAGGGTGTGAAGGTATTAGAGCGCCGCCGTACATGGAAATTGGTAGGCCCTAAAGGATCAAAAAAGGACCATCAGTGAATAAGGTAGTGGTTATGAAAGATTACCTTATTTATCTTATGCTTCTGTGGTGCAGTACACTTCATCTTAACAACACCAGAGCACTTTTCAGAGATTACATCTACCTCTGAAGTGCTGGGCTAGGAGAGACGCAAGGACAGCCCTAGAGAACAATGACGAGGACAGAATACACTGAATCCAATCTGGAGTTTTACTAGTGTTGACATTTTATCAGGCTTCTTGTTGCAATGGGTAACACACAAGCATAAACCACATTTGCCAAGATGACAGAGGCAGTTCAAACCCATTTGCAGTGTTCACACATTGGTAAACAACTTAGCAGTGAGAAGAAAAGGAGCACCACTGCTCTTCTAGGCAGAGTTTGGAGTACAAAGACTTTCAAGCCTGAGCTTCCAGGCAGTTTACCCATTTTCCTGATATTACACTTCCCCAGTATGCAGCCGCCTCTGCACAATGCTTTCAGATAACCCTGTAAAGCTGGACATGACAGCCTTACAAAATAATGTGAGTGTTCCCTCTTCTCACCTCTGCAGCCCATGATAATCTTATTGCACTCAGAGCTGCAGCCAGGGGGCTGCACTTCAGAGTCCTTACACAGTTTGAGCCCACAAGATTCTCTGAGCTGAAGATTCTCTCCTGCGTTGATCTGTTGATTTGCAATTCAGATGATCCCCAAAAGCACATGCTACAGCTACTTCTGAAACATGCTGTGCAAAGATTTGCACATGCTGCTGAGTGCATGGTCCTGGACCTTCCTCCCATGGAGGCTAAGCCAACTATAGCTTGGCTACATTGCTTTGCCTCAAGCTATGATACTAACACACAAGGCACAGAATTACAAACGGTTCTCTCATCCTGCCCCATTCTTAAGAAAATCATGCGGTATTCACAAGCATAATTTGCACTGAGAGCATTAAATGTTCAATCAGCTGCAGGAGTAGAGCAAGCCTTGTGATACCAATGTTTTCACACGAGAACCCTTGCAACCTGTAACTTCTAGCTTTGTTTAAACAAGTCTGTA